GGCGGGGGGGGGGGGGGCCAGGGAAAGGCCGCTGCCCCCCGCCCCTGGCCGGGAGAGCGGAGCGGGGTCCCCGCACCGGGCAGAGCCGGCGGGGACCGGCCCCGGGTGACCGCACGGGGGGGACGTGGAGCCGGACCTCGGCCCCGCGCCCCGGGTTCTGCCCCGCCGCCCCTCCGAGCCGCGGTCCCGCTTTGTCCCGGGCCAGGGGGTTTTTTTCCGGGCCGAGGCCGGGCCCGTCTGGGGAACCTCTTTACCGCCCGGATAGGGGGCAGTTCCAGCCGTGTTTTACTCCTGAGCATCTTCAAAATTCCTCCCCGGCCATAGAGGCCCGTGAGCGCAGCACCGACGGGAGGGACCAGCCGCCCCCCCTCCCGCCCTCCCCCCGGCCGCTCCTCCTCCCGGCACACGGGGTTTAACCCCAGGCTTTGCCGGGGGGGCGGCTCCGCCACCTCCCTGCCCGAGCGGGGTTACCCCCGGGGCACCGCCGCCTCCCCGACGGGGCGGGCCGGCTGCTGCGGGAGGCTGGTCCGGGGGGGCCCGGGGCGAGCAGACGGACCGGCCCCCGGGGACAGCGGCGGCCGTGGCGAATGGCGCTGCCCCCCCCGGGAGGGGGGTGACCCCTGCCCCGGCCCCACGCCCGGGCTGTCCCAGCCCCGCCGCTCGGGCTTTGTCCCCGCCGGCCGCCCCGTCCCTCCTCCCGCCCTCCCCCGCCCTCCAGCCAACCCTCCGCCGACGACTCTGCCTCAACTTTAGAAGCAGGTCCCGGAGGCGCCGGGCAGCGGGAGCGGGACCCGCACCGGCACCGGCACAGGGCGGGGGCATCCATCCTCCTTCCCGGGCTGAGCCTCCTCCCCTCCCTGCCAGCCTGGGAAGGATGCGGCGACCCGGAGCCGACGGCGACCGCGGGCAGCACCGGCCCCGGCGGGGCGAGCAGGTACCCCCTTCCCCGGGACCCCTCCCTCGCACCCCTTATGCGAGTCTCTCGTCCTCCCCACGTCCCCCGTTGGGGACCGGGGCAGCCTCTCCGCCGAGTTTCCCTCCGAGCGGCCGCCTTGGGCAGCTCCCCGGGAACATCCCCGGAACATCCCCGGAACATCCCCGGAACATCCCCCTCCGGTGCCCGGGGCCGGTGCCCGGAGCCTCCCGGCCGGGGCGCAAAGTGCCTGAGGGGACGGGGCCATCCCAGAGGGGCTCAGGGAGACCCCCCCTCCGGGAGATTCACGGCCCGGACCCCCAGGATCCGCGGGGTCCCTGCCGGGTTTGCAGGGCCCGGTTGGTGGGAGCGGATATGGGAGGAAGGGGAGGAAGAGGAGAAGGGCGCGGGGGCGAGGTGGAAACCCCCGGGGGGGACCTTTTCGGCTGGGCCCGTCCCTTCCCCAAACCGCTCTCATGACTCAGCAGTTCCGTGCCAGTAATTTCCAGTAATTATAAAGTGGGAATGGGCTCCCGGCTGGGTCCGGGGGGGAATTTGGGACCGGGAAGGCGGCAGGTCCCTGGGCGGCAGGGATGGATCCTGGGGGGACACCCTGCCCTGCCGTGACCCCGGGGCCGGGCTGTGCCAGGCTGAGCCCGTTTTGGGGTTTTGGGGTCCTTTTGGGGCACGACGTCGAGTCGGGGCTCCCGGGTGGGCACCCGAGGGTCGCGTGCGTCGCATCCCAAGGCGCCGGAGACGATTCCTGCTCTCCCTCCAAAACCTTCGGGGTTCCTTCATGTTGTTGGCAGCGAGGGCACACAGCTCGTGGCCACCCCGGGGGTGGGAGCCAAACCCCCCCTCCGGGGGCGAGAGGCCCGTTGCTGTTGTTGTTGTTGTTGTTGTAGAGACCTGGGCGGGTTTTTCTCTTTGGTTATCTAGCTGTATGAGTGTATGTGATATCATAAAGCTAGAGAACCGAATGTAAAAACCCTCCTACCATCCTCGGGGAGAACAGCCCTGCCCTCCTGGCACGAGGGGGGCCCGCTGGCCACCGGCTGGAAGCCGAACGCGGCCGTGGAGTGGAGATTTCGCCGGGGTTTTGCCTTTAATCATTTTTATTGAGGCCCAGAACCGGCTCCTGCGCTGGGGTGATTATTTTGATTCCAACCTTGGGTTCCTCAGGCTACCCACAAACCCAGCACCTTTATTTTATTAATTTTTTTCTTTTTTTAATTTTTTCCTGTTTGTTTTTTTTTCCCCCGCCGTGGTTTTAATTTCCACGCCGACAATTAAAGCTCCCTCGCGCCGGAGATAAACGAAACGGGGCCAAGCTCAGAAATAACCCCCCGAGAAAAACCCTGTTTTATAACAAAGTGGAAGGAAAGTTGCTTAAATATATATCACCGCATGCAAATTGTAATTTAGCACCAACCCTTTTTCCGAGGCTGATTTCTCTACCGGGGGAGAGAAATAAATCATCGCCGCTCGTCGCCTGTTCTGCATCTGCGGGGAGGCTGCAGCTTTGTTCTTGGGAGAGAGGGATTTGGGAGCATCACTCCGAGAGCTCTCCGCTCTCGGCCACCCCCGGGTTCCTCCTGGAGCCTCCGTGCTCCTCCTTTGCCGCCTGTGGATTTGGGAGTTGAGTCCCTCTGCCTCCTTCCCTCCTGCTCCCCTGAGGTGCCCGGGGAGGCTCAGCAGAGCGAGGGGTGTGGGGTTGAGTGGGGGCCCTGGAGCGCTGGATGCAGCCCCGTGGTTGGTGCTGGGAGAGGGGAAAGGCTGTTAAGGGGTGACCCCAAAAGGCTGGGCCGTCCCCAGGTATTCCTGGGAAGCTCAGGGAAGGTGTTTTCGGGTGGTGCTTTGGGATGTGGTGGAATGGGCAGCGAGGGAGGGCCCTCCGTGCCTGAGAGCTCTCGGGTGTTTGGAATTGGGAAGTGAGGAGGCTCCACAGACAGATCCAGGCACCCTTGTTGTTAAACCATGGCAGGACCAGGACCATCCAGCGGGATGCAGGCACAGTACGAGGGCGGCCAGAGCAGGGTGGTGGCACCAGGGCACCTCCATTCTCCCCTCACTGCTGGGTCTTTGCAGCATCAATGCCCTGGCTGGGCTGGTGCTGAGAAATGAGAAGGGGAAGAGCTCCAAAAATTAAAATCCCGAAGCCCCAATCCCTCGCTCCGTCTGCCTCTCCCTGCCCAGCACATCCCGGTCGCACCTCCTCTTCCACCTGACGTGTCTGGAGTCTGCAGCACGGGAGGAATTCGAGGTGCAACTTCCTCCCTCTCCCTCTTGGCAGGTCTTGCTTTGTTCAGGCAGCAGAGGGGCAGACTCCTTGTCCCGGATCCCTGTGATCCCTGGTGCTGCTCCTGCCCCTCCAGCCTCTGGCTCACCCAGCCTGGGTCTTTTCCCGGGCAGGGAGGACACGGACTCCATCCATAGTGTGGGATAAACCCCCTGTACACCCCACACCACGATGTGGGATAAAGAGTAGATGGTCCCCTGTACACCCCGTGTCCCAGGGAGATATTCCACCTGGGAATTGGGAACAGGAGTGCTGGTGCTCCGGCCGTGGTGACGCCAAGCTGGACGACGGCCTTTGCTGCAGCACACACGGAGCTGCTGAGCCACCGGCTTGTCTCCCTGCCAGAGACACTAATCCTGGGGAAAATGTGCCCTGTCCGATGGCTGATGCCACCTGCGGGGCTGGATGGGCAGGAAAACCTGTTCCCTGTTCCCTGGCTCCTCGGCTTTTTGCCCTGAGCTCCTCCAAGGGACAGCAGGACGCTGTCGGAGCGGGTTTTCCGTGCTGGACCCACTTATATCCTTTCACCCACCTCAGGCTCTCCAAGGTCTGGCCCAGCCGTGGATCCTGTAGCTTTGTGTGTGAGTTAGGGCAGGGTTTGGGCTTCCAAAGCACCAGAGGAAGGCACTGGCTGCCGGGGGAAGCGTTCCAGCACAGCGAGGCCGTGCGGGGACAGCCGGGAGGATCCAAGCGTTGCCTGTGCTGCAGCAGGAGGGATGCCCAGCGCCCAGCACGGGTTGCTGATGCTGGGCACCAATCCTGCCCTCACCTCTCACACTCCCAGGCTGGAACACACCCCAAAAACCACCCCCACACACCCCAGCACCCCGGCAGGAATCGGCGGGGAAGCGGCGCAGGCTCTGCCGCGCGCCGAGAAACCTTCCCCTCCCTCCTGACTACTTGTAAACCATTTAGCAGGAATTTCTTAAAATAGGTTCCACTTTAAGGACTTATCTTCTGAATACCATTAATTTTCTGGGGTTCGTTAAAAGCAAACTTGGTATCATGGCAACGGAATCTATTCCAGGGGAAGCAGCCAATGGCACCGCACGGCATGTGCGACCGAAGGCGAGAGAAAGGAGCCTTTCAGGTTTATTCTCGGGCTTGTGCCTCTCTCTGCGAGTGAAGTTTTTAATTTCCAATGTTTTATTCCCCTCGCAGAATATTCTATAATTTCTCCCGGCAATTCCCGGCGGGGAGAGGGGGAAAAAAAAACCCCAACAAATCTCGGGGAAATCGCTTCCCTTGTGGGCTGAGGAGGTGGCGGAGGGATGAGGTGGGAGCTCGGGGTGGATCGGGTTTGGGACAGCCAGGCTGGTCCCTCTGGGGTCGGCACTGCCAGCCCTGATGTCACCCTTGGGAGAGATGCTGGGCACGGGCACCTCTGGCCACCCCGGCTGGATCCGGGAGTGCCCGGTGGGATTGGGAGCTGCTGGTAAAGAGGCCGCTAATCCCCGGCTCATTTCCCCCGCCCCGCTGAAGAAATAGTCATTATTTGCCTTTTAATCCCATCTCTCTCCTCTTTTCCATTAGGCCCTAAGCTGCAATCTCGTTCCCGGGGGATGTTATGCCGGGGGATAATCCCGGGAGCTGCCGGGGTGCCCGGCACAGCTACTTTGGGGCAGGGGGTGGTTTCCAGCCCTGGGTGAGGGCTGAGCTGGGGTTCTCCAGTCCTTGTTCCTGGCACAGGGAGAGGAGCTGGGGTGAGCATCCCGGTGCCAGCACAGCAGAGTGAGGAGGGGGCAGTGGGGTAACCCCCAAAATCCCGTGTCAGTGTGGAGATGGGAATAGGGAGCTCGTGGTTGGCTCGGCTGTGGGGATGCCAGGGCACTGCCACTGCCCTGTGGTGGTTCAGGTGTTGGATCCGGCCTCGGGCTTGGCACTGGGACAGAGGGACCCCTTTGTGCCATGGTTGGTGTGAGGGGTGGAAGGAGCTGCAGGAATTCTGGGATTTGGGGTGCCGAGAGGAGCCAGGAGGCTGCTCCACCTTTGCCACCAGTCTCGTGGGGGGAAACCAGTACCCTGTCTACCAGAACCCTAAAAATAACCTTGCCTGCCCCCCCATCAGCACAATATCCAGGTTTTAATTGGGGAGGGGTGGCAGGAATTGAGTTTGGAGCCATCCAGGCCAATGACACCCACGGCAGGTGCCCGAAGGTTTGCAGGTTCTCAGCCTTTAAACCCAAATCTCCCCATCCCTCTCCGAGAGGTTCCCTATGCCCCCCACCCCCTCCCCAGCCCTGGCATTTCTCCTTTCTCCCACCACAAACTGATGATTTTCCAACTTGATAACAGTGTGTGTGTGGGGGAAACCAAGTAATTTATGATAAAAGCTATCACTTCAACAGACATAAAGCAGGAAATCCCAGACAAAACCATCTGCACGGGATGGAGGGAATGAGAACCAGGGATGGGTTTAACTTTAGGCCATTTGCAAACCATCACTGCCCAGGCCCCAGCAAACAAAGATCCCTTCCCATCAGGTTTGGAGCTCCTGTTTATTTTGTTTATTTACCCCGAGCTGAGGGGGGGGAGGCAAGGCCAGGCCGCCTCTTCAGCTGCTAATTTTTATAGATGTCAGGATGGAGATGTCAGGATTCATCCAGCCTGGATAAATCAGGTGCTGGAAGTGCTGGGAGCAGTGTGAGAGCTCTCAGCCCTCCCTCAGTGCCTGAGGGGTGAGAGTGGGACCTGCACCCACACGGGGTGGGTGAGATGAGGCTTTGCATGCCCAGGACATCAAGGTCTGTTCCCAGGATATTGGGGTCTGTTCCCAGGATATCAGGGTCTATTCCCGACCCACCAGCCCCACAGGATGTGCTAGAGCATTGCTTTCTCTCTCTCTCCCTTTTTTTTTTTTTTCTTTTTATGGAGAAATTATTATTTACAGTTTAATATCTTCATGTTTCTATGGGAACTCTGTGGTTGCGCCGGGTGGAGAAGTCAAAACCAGCTGAGGAAATGGGAATATTGGAAAGCAAGGGGAGCAGGGCAGGTGCTTGGACTGGGGCAGGGGGCAGGTGCTGGATGTGGGGGGGACCCCCCACGTGTCTGTGGTGCTCAGGGTGCCGAGGATGTGGCCTTGGTGGCCGCGCTTTGTCCCTCCTGCCAAAGCCAGACCCTCCTCCCAGGCTCAGCAAGCGCTTTGTGAGCTTGGTCGGAGCTTCCTTTCTCCTTCCTCACACTGGGAATGCTCCAGGCACAGGGAAAACCCCTCGGGAATTGATGGGTCTTTGGCACACAAGGGTTGGCTGAGCCCCCTCGCCACGGGCACGTGTGGGCATCAGCCCCCCGGGCATTGGCCACCCGTGGGCAGCGCTGCAGCCCCGAATGTAGGTCACACACACACACACGTGTGCATCAGCACATACGTACGTTGGCTTCAGAGAGCTCGTCCTCGCTGATCCCAACCCCATCCTCACTGATCCCAACCCTGTTCTCGCCAATCCCAACCCTGCACTCGCTGATTCCAACCCCACCTCATTGATCCCAATCCCATCCTCAGCGATCCCAACCCCATCCTTGCCAATTCCAATCCCATTCTCGCTGATTCCAACCCCTCCTCACCAATCCCAACCTCACCCTCAGCGATCTAAACCCACCTTGCCGATCCCAATCCCATCTTCAGTGATCCCAAACCCATCCTCAGTGATCCCAACTCCATCCTCGCCGATCCCAACCCCATCCACAGTGATCCCAATCCCACCTCACTGATCCCAACCCCATCCTCAGTGATCCCAGCCCCACCTTGCCGATCCCAACCCCATCCTTGCCGATCCCAACCCCATCCTCACTGATCTCGACCCCATCCTCAGTGATCCCAAACCCATCCTTGCTGATCCCAACTCTGTCCTCGCCAATCCCAACCCCATCCTCAGTGATCCCAACCCCATCCTTGCTGATCCCAACTCTGTCCTCGCCGATCCCAACCCCGTCCTCAGCGACCCCAACCCCACCCTCACCGATCCCACCCCGCGCCGCCCATCCCGTCCCGGCGCGTGGCCGATGAACAGATTCCCGTTTCCCAGCGCAGGGCACGTGCGTTGGGCACCGGGAGAGGGGGTGGGGACCAGGGGGGGACCCCCCTGCCTGGCACCAGCTCCGGAGCTCATGCGGAAAGCGCGCGGTGGCGGCGCAGCCCTTCTCCCCCTAATCGCGGCTGACAGGGACTCGCTCGTGGCCATGTCCCCGCGCCGGGCGCGCGGCAAGGACGGAAGGTGTGCCACGGCCCCGCTGGTGTCACAAAGGATCCGTCAGAGCAGCGGGGAAAGGTCAGCGGGGAGAGAACCAGCGAGCCCTGAGGACGGGGCCCTGTCTGTCTGTCTGTCCGTCCGTCCTGCTGCCCCCGCCGAGGGGAGCGGGAGATGGGCTTCAAAAAAATCCCGGGAAATGATAATTGTGGGTTCTGCCGCTGCCTCTTGGCTGGGGGGGCCTTTTGGGGATGGTGTTTTCAAGCCTTTCCTCCGCCGCCGCCACCAGGAATGTATTTATTTATTTTTAATGAAAAGCACAATCCCGGTGCTGCTCCGGGGCCGGGCCTTGGCAAACAAGGGAAGGTGTTGGGAATGGGGAAGGTGCTGGGAATGGGGAAGGTGCTGGGAATGGGGAAGGTGATGGGAATGGGGAAGGTGCTGGGAATGGGGAAGGTGATGGGAATGGGGAAGGTGATGGGAATGGGGAAGGTGTTGGGAATGGGGAAGGTGCTGGGAATGGGGAAGGTGATGGGAATGGGGAAGGTGCTGGGAATGGGGAAGGTGTTGGGAATGGGGAAGGTGATGGGAATGGGGAAGGTGCTGGGAATGGGGAAGGTGCTGGCAATGGGGGCTGTGCCTCCGTCCCCGGCTCCGAGGAGCGACCCCCCGGCTCCGCCGTCCCCGGAGCTCTCAGCTCCGACTTTCTCTGCCCTAATTCCCTGGGAAACCAGGCGAGGGCTGATCCTTGTGCAGCTGTTTATTGTTTGTTGGAAATCTTGGATTTGTGCGGAGCATGGAGGGGATTTCTGGGCAAATCACAGGCTTGATGTTGGGGAGAATCGAGGTGTGACCGCCCAGATTGCCCTGTCCCTGGGGAAACCCCATCCCTTCGTGTGGCAGGCGGGGATTTAACGTGGAATGTTTACTCCAGGAGCACTAAAAGCTGGTTGTGAAACCTGGGCATGAGAGGAGTGATGGTGTGTTTGGGGTCCCCACGGCTGGGTGGTGGAGGGGGGCACAGCCACCATCCCCGTGTCCCCTCTGCTCTGGCCTCACAAAACAGCGACAGCCACTGGTACTTTTTTACCTCCTTCCCGTTTTCCCTCAATTCTTACACCAAAATCGAAGCATGGAGATCCCAGAGCGAAACAGGGTGGGTGTCCAGGCCGAGGGCACTGCCTGGGGCACAGAAAACCACCTCAGCTCACCACGATCCTCCCCGACACCCCTTCCAGGGCGGCCTTTAGGGCTAAGCCCCCCGTGCCAAGCCAGGAGGGGCCCACGTGTGCTCCCACAGCCACCCCGGGGCTTGCACACGCGTGTGCACGTGTGGCCAGGCCGGGCCCCGGGTCCTGGCTGCTCCGGAGAGAGACGTGGGGTGCGAGTGGCATTTCAATGCAACCCCGGGCGGGAACAATGAGGTGTGTTTTTAAGGGACTGTGAAAGGGGCTTTTTTTTTTTTTTTTTTTTTGGGGGTGGGTGTTTTTTTTTTTTTTTTTCTCCCCCGGGGGGGGGGGAGGGGGGGGGGGGGGGGGGGGGGGGGGGGGGGGGGGAGGGGAGCCCGGGCAGCCCCTCCATTAGCTCAGTGCAGCAGCGAGAACAGCTGTGAAAAGAGCCCAGGCCTTTTTCCCACGCCCAGAGGAGCGGAGCGAGGGAAGGAGCCCTCCCAGCGAGGTCAGATCCCATCACTAATATATACACAGGCTGTGCCCTCATTCACGTCACCCCGGCGCAGGTTTGTTTAAGGCACACACACACTGACACTAATTTCTCCTCGCCCTCGCTCCCCCAGCCGGCCCCATTATGGTTAAACCCTCCCCGTGCCCCGGCGACGGCTGGCGGCGCCCGGGGGGGGCCGGGAGGGAGGTTTGGGTTTTTTTTTTTTTTTATTTATTCCCCTCCCCTCCCTCCCTCCCCGCCCCCCAACACCTGACCGACAAGGTCAAGACGAGCCGCCCGCGCCGTCGGTTGTGTCCGGCAGCTGC